CGCTTTTGCCCCCGGTGCACGTACACGTTAGCATCTTCACCTTCCCGTCCAGGTTCAGCAGGGCGTACGCCGAAAGCTTGATGCAACAGTTTGCGGAAGTAAGCTCTCCCCCAGGGTTTTTTCCCTCCGCTACCCAACCATGTCCTTCGAACGCGACTGGTGTCGTTTTGGAATCAAACGCGGTCTGCCAGTACAGGAGCACTCTCTCCGCCCTCTCCACTTGAAACTGCAAGGCGTACCAGTCAGGGCAGTTCTTCCGTCCGTTGTTTTTTTGGGACTTGAAAATGATCATCCGAACCTTCTCGATGAACTTTTTCTTATCCCCGTCAACAGCCTGGAACAGCTCTGACGCTCCACCATTGTAAGTACCCTGGAAGACTCGCAAGTGCATCTGAAAGTAACACACTCCTAACATCTTGACGCACTCTCCGACGTCGATGGTCCATTTGCCGTCGACCTTGACGACGATGGGTTTGTTGAAGAGACCCGGTTGGGAAATTGCTTCCAGGACATATTTGAACATCGCCGGCATCTTCAGATTGAAGAAACCCGGCAAGAAATCACAGCCGCCAAGGAAGTACATAACCACAAAAAGCACCATCTTTGCTTGCCCCTCGTGATCGTCCAGACCTGGGTAGCCCACGACCAAAAGAGCAAGCACAAACGGGCAGTCTCTCCCGGGAGTGCCAGAGCGCCAACAACCCGGTCTGCCAGAAGTTCACACCGTCTTATATGCAGCTCTTGTAGGACACCCGCCATGCCCCGAACGACAACCAGCAAGAGGGTCCGAGCGACAGCCACGAAGTAGCCACCCCACGACCCGTCCACGGCAGACGGGCCGTCCACATACATGAAGCGGTCCCCTGGACAAGCGGTATTCGGTGCCGGGTTCACCGTGTCGTCCAGATTGACGTTGTAGCATGCCCTGAATACGCGCAGTTACAAGCAAAAATCACGTCAAACGGCGCCCGTTAACTGTATGTATGTGTTGTGCACTTAACGGCGTGGCTCAACTGGCAGGGATCCACGTCAATCTGCTCGTGTGCAAAAATTGGAGGATCTGCACGTTGCCGTGTCCCAACAAGCCTTGCCTTTTCGCGCTGGGATATGAGACTCATGGATCTCCTTAAGGCTATTCCGATCCAAGTACTCCCCCCACTGAACGTGGCGGCGGCAGAGGGGGCACCTCCACCGCCCCCACCCCCCTCGACGGGCGGCACCGGTACAGGAGACACCCCAAAGGCCACGAACGATGCACCGTCAGCCTTCTCTCTCCCGCCCGGGTGGCTGGTAATGCGTTGCCAAAGGTAAGACGCAATTTTGTCGCGGGTGCCCGCCCGACGAAGAAATGGAGAATACTTGGCGCCGGTCGGAATCGGTCGGCTGGAGGTGACATCAAAATCGACGTTGGTGGTTTCAATCCCTACGAGTCGCTTCCTCTGCGTTGCAGCCTTGATCGGCGGCACCTCCTTGGGGTCGTCGTAACAACACGCCACAACACGGTGTCCACCGCCCTCCTCGTCCGTGCTGCCGTACGTGGCCACGTCTGATAAAATCTGCAGGCAATTGGGTGGCGGCATTTTTTTGCGGCAAGGACGGGTTAAAACTTCCCGGTCACCACCTGAATCGCATCGCGCATCTCGAGTGACCACCACAAAACGCATAGCGCGTAAGCAACAACACGCAACAACACGAACGACGACAAGAGGCGGAAAATCCTACTTGGGCTGGGCGCTGTGTGCCACCGAAGGCGAAAAGAACAACATACAGAGCGCGGCGGCTACGGTCAAGTCAACATACCTGATCTCGATAGTGGTCCAAGTACGCGATCGCTCCCTGGTCGCACGTGACAACACTCGGGGATCTGTGGATTTCTGTCGCCCAGTCTTTCGCAAACCCGTCGAAGAAGTAGAATGGCTCGCCTCGTATGGCGTCCGGGCAATACGTGTCGAACGCCCACTTAACCCCAGCTGCTTTGTTGACGCCGTACGTTCCGCCATCGTCCGCGTGCGACAGAGCCATCGGCAGAACAACCCCGATGGAGCTCACTATCCGGTTCCACTCCTCTGTATTCACATTTTCTTCCATCATGGCGGCCTGGATGACTCCCCAGAACTCCTTCGCCATCGCGTCCATGTCCTTGAGGTCCCTGCGCGCGACGATGGTTGACGTGGGCGCCTTGGTGGCCTTGTGCGTGTTGTTCTCCGCCGGGAAAAACGGTATCTTGCTCGTGCTCGGCTTAGCTCCGTTTTCCTTGTCACCGAGAGCTTCCCCAAGCAACACCTTATCGAACCTAACCTCTGCAATTTTGTTGGCGTTGAGCATGGCTTCCCCCTTGCGGTCTGTCGAAACGGCCCCGNCGACGATGGTTGACGTGGGCGCCTTGGTGGCCTTGTGCGTGTTGTTCTCCGCCGGGAAAAACGGTATCTTGCTCGTGCTCGGCTTAGCTCCGTTTTCCTTGTCACCGAGAGCTTCCCCAAGCAACACCTTATCGAACCTAACCTCTGCAATTTTGTTGGCGTTGAGCATGGCTTCCCCCTTGCGGTCTGTCGTAACGGCCCCACTCAAAGACCGCAGCTGTTCCTTGCCCTCCACGGAAAACGCAAACGATTTTTCCAGCACTGCCTTCGCCTTCCTTATCGCACCTGCTCGAAGCTTGATGATACCACGCCGCACGTCCCGCTCTGAGTACGACGGGTACAGGCGAGTGTCGACCTCGTCCACGGCGGCACGGCGAGAATCGCATATTNCTCTGAGTACGATGGGTACAGGCGAGTGTCGACCTCGTCCACGGCGGCACGGCGAGAGTCGCATATCCTGGGGAGCTTCACCATGTACGCCTGCGTGATCCTTCCCAGATTCTGTTTGACCGTCCTGTTTTCCATCTCCATGAACTCGTCCAGGAAGACGTTGTTGAAGTTCCTGTAATTCTTGGTGTTGTACTGAGACGAAAACAGGCAAGAAACCGCCTCCAAGTCGTTGTCTGTCATCCGCGCAAGGTTGAGTAGGTGCCACGAAGCCAGCTGTTGGTAACGGTTCTTTCCCGTGGCTGCGAAAAGAGGAGCAATCTTTCGGAATCCCGCCACACATACCTTGTAGTTCGCAGTTCTACCCCCCGTTCGAAACATGAGGTACCTCGGATAGTCGTCCAACAAGAATGTCGCCCACAGACGTAACGTCTTGTGCTCCTTGGCTTCCTCCCTCAACCACGGCACGACGTCTTCCTCGACATTTACTGGCACCCCACGAGCGCGCCCCCCCGCCCCCGGCGCCCCCTCCCCTGCCGAAGCGCCATTCGAAGGAGTGGCCGAGTCAGCGGTGGTCATCGCTGGCGAAGCTGCTTCTTCTTTCTTCGCTACGATGTACTTCTCGATGACGGCCCACCACATGGCTTCGTAGGTGACCGTTAGGAGATGGTGACTCCGCCTGTACTTGCTGCCAGCTGCGGCGTGCTTGTCATCGCCACCGAGAGCTTTGGCGACAACCTCCACGCCTGCACCGTAGTACCTTGAAATTAGGGCTTTAGTCATGTGCAGCATGATATGCCAGCCGCCCGGGTGAGGTAGCATCCACTTGTACTTCTCCGGGTTCCCCTTCTTGAGTTGCACCATAATTCTGTACGTCTCCTCGTCCCCCTCTACAAGGACACGCCGCCTCGCCGTGCTTTGCCATTTCCCTCCCACCTTGTTCCACACCACTCCCGCGTGACAGCAACGCTGGATTCGGTCAAGGGCAGCCTCGTTGTCGACCAAGCGTTTGGTGGAACCCGCCTGAAGAAATAAATTCTTTGAATCAACCTTGCACTTGGGCGCGGTATGGTTGTCTTGAATCTGAATCTCCAGACAAGACTCACCCTCCCCCTCCGCGTTGAGATAGCCCGGGCTGTCTCCAAGAATTTTGAAGAGAGTACGGTTCCAACCATCGACCGTCGCGTCGTCGTCCGCCCCGGCCCCCCCCCTTTTTAACATCGAGAGGGTTACTTCTCCGACCTTCTTCCACAGCGACTCCAACCCCAGAGTAGGCGACCCCGGCTTAATCACTTGGTGTCCGCATGCTCCAATTTGGCTGAGGTGTTCAACACTTGCCACTGCAGCATGCGGGTCGGCATCGTTGTTGTCCCACGACACAGCTACGCCGACGTCCGGGCTTGCTTTTAGCAGGGTTTCGTCAGCGACTTGGCCGAAGCACTTTTCCCGATCGTACCGAACTCCGTCTCCCCAGCAAACACGAATAGACGACAAGAAAGCCATGTTCTTCTGCGACATACCCCGCATCTTGAAGGCCTGAGAAAGTTTGAGGTCGTGGGGTGCCTTGAACTTCTGCCCAATGACCGATTTCCCGACCATCGTCCCAACCATGTACATGAAGACAGCATCGCGGGACTCGTCCTTGTTCAACTCCCTTCGCGCTCCCCCCCCTGGCTGCACAGACGTTGGCTCCCCCCCGCCTCCCGCCGACACCAACTCGTCACCCCCTCCTGCCACCGCCGACACCCCCCTCCCTCCCGCCACCATAGATTCGCACTCGCCCTGCTCCACGCCAGCACCACTCGCGGCCAACACATCTTGACATCCGCAAACCGTTGTCAGGAGAACGGCGAGTGTACGGGGGAATGTGTCGTTCACATATTTGATGGGGTCCGGGATTTCCTCGTCGAAGTCCTTGACATGGTCCCGCCCACGCCTGCAGTTATCCCATGCGGGGTGCAGTTGGATGTCATTTCGGATTATTGAACCTGCCTCCTCCACCACCGCCAACTTCTTGTCCTGCACAGAGCTTGTTCTTTTCGGCGCATGGTCCTTGGCTTGATACATCCTGGCGATTTTCTTGCACTCGGCCAATTCTTTCTCAACCGCCAACAAACTCTCATGCAACTTCGCGATCTCCACGTGGGCCACAAAGGTGGGCATGAGGTACACACGAGTCGTTCGTCTATCTCGCGATCCCACGTCGGCGCCAGACCAGCTGCAGAATTCGGCATCGTTGACAGCCGTACTCAATTCTTGGAAGAGGCTTCGCACCTCATCGGCCAAAGACTTGTCCGCAATGGGTCCGAGACCGGCCTCGCGGCGCGCTTCCTTGTAGATGTCCACACCATGCGCGAGGTACACGAATCCGCCGTCAGCCAATATCTCCAAGAACCTGCGCCTCGCCAATGACCGAGCTCCGTCCACGGAATCATTCTGCAGTGGCTGGCAGCCAGATCTAAGAGTCAGTTCGTCGTCCACACTCTGGATACCGGACCCATCCTTCGTCGATTGAGCGAATCTATAACCTCGCATGTAGCAGGCTTGGCAGAGGTTGCTATTCTCATCCAACGTACTGCCCAATGGCAACGCCTGCGGATGCAACGGGTCTCGTCGTGAAAACAGCACCCGCATAGCGTGGAGAAATGCGCCAAGATGGTGGTGTTGTGGTGTACTGCGCCTGCCCTTGTTGCAGATCGCGCAGACAACGTCACGGTTTGCGCCTTGGCCCTGTACCGCCTCTTCTCGCTGCCATTGTTCAACTTTCATGAACATGCAATCAGTCCTATCACAGAAGCATTCGTTGGCCGGCTCTTTTCCATCCTTGACACGACCACGGTCCGCACCGAGAGCAATTCGCGCCGACCAAACTGATTTAGCGGCGTTGATCGCATCTTCGCTTTGGTAATGCTTCCAACGCACCCTCGATGAAAGTACTCTAGCAGGTTCCTCACACGCCCAGCAAACAGGCTCCCCGCTCCCACCTTCTGGCACTCCGCACACCGGCTTACCGCATTTCGCTGCACGTTTCTTTTTGTTCGAGGAACCCGGAACAGCCGAACCGGCACGTGACGAGACCCCTGAACGCGTTGTTCTCCCGGCGTGGGGTGCTGTGCCGGAAGACGTTGGCGCCGCTCCGGCGCCACCGCCTCCACCTGACGCGGGTGAAGAAGGTGCAGGCGCAACGATTTCCATGCCATCGTCTCCAACATACCATGCTGCATTGCAGATCCACTCGGTTCCGACCCCTCCGTCCCCCGATTCGGCCGAAGCACTGCAGCCACCACCTCCATCAACCTCATCGATAGTGTCCCCAAAGCCTCGCCGACTTCCTCCAGCTTTGATCCCGGCGCCGGCTCCTTCAAGGGGCTCCGTTTTCATACCCTCCGGGGTTGGAACCCACACATGCGTGCCCCCGATCCCGGTCAGGTCGGCTGTCCAGAAAGCTATTCGCCCACATTCACGGCATGTTCTTCGGTCAGAGGGGTTGGAGACATGACAGACGCATCGCCAATGGTCGTTTACGCTTCCAGGAAAATCTCCCTCCGTTCCGAAAATTTCGATAGAAACACTGCCGACCCCTTCACCAGCCTCAAAGCTTCCAGCCCCCACAACGGGACTAGTTAGTTCAGGTTGGACACTGACCCCTGCACGCGTGCCCACGATCCCGGCCATGTCCGATGGGGCCACCAACGCCTGCGTTGCTCGCCTCTTCGAAGGATCGCCCGCTGCAGGTGAGTTCAAGGAACCAGATCTCTTGCGTCCGCCTGCATCACGTTAACAACCCGATTACATTTGAAGAGTTGAGGGACTCTGCCGCATCGTGGAACTTGATAAACAATTATGACGACCTACAAACAAGGTTTCTTCTACGGGGTTTGGTTAAGGAGACTGCAGACCCGACCTTCCTACGGTGCTCCCAAGCGGGAAGAAAATATCGTGCATAAAGCTAACCATTCGTCAGAGTTGGCGAGCCATGAAAACTGCCATAAGTTCCAATCTTTCTCGACGGCCCATGTTATGAAGACATGACAACGTGACAAAGGACAAGGCTATCACACAGAATACCACTTAGCGTTTTAACTGCCGCCTGCAACAAGACACAAACTCATAAAATTGAAACTACTATGACGGCTCCGGAAGCAACGAAAGACAAAAAAAAATATTACAAATGGTACTCTGATGCCTCCTATCAATTTTAGACGCCGAGTCAAAACTCGTTGGAGTGACATGATTTAAGTTCAGACTAGCAACCCGCATTGGTCCTGTTCAACTCCGTGCTACAACCGTGTGGCCTGGCTTCTGCACTACCTGGAAGCAAAGTGGGGCCCTGTCTCACCTGTACAGTAACAGCACTCCGCAGCACCAACTGCGTTCTGCCTCCCGCACCGTGGGCACTCCCTCCTTCCATCGGGGGGTACGGGGACTTCACAAACGCTGCCCCCGGCAGCGTCACTGCCGCCTGACCCCCAGCTGTAATCCCCACCGCCGCCAGTTCTGCCTCCTTCTTGTCCTCGCTCTCTACCCGAAGACCCGCACCCTCCCCCTTCGCTCCCGACACCCACATCAGGAACATTGCCGGAGCGTCTTTCTCCCTTCGTGCGCGCCTCAGACGTCGCCTCTCCACCAACCTTGCTGGTGCGAAACCAGTCTGTGATGACTCTATGAGACCGCGCAGAGCGAAGATGCTGCCGCGGTGTTGGTATCGCTTGCACCACACCGAACAAGGTAGCTGGTAGGCACAACACCAAGGCCGGTTTGCATATCCCCGCCGGGCTTTCCGAAGGGAGCAATGACCCCAGCCAAACCGCCGCCCACAAGCACGTCGCAATGACTCGATTTTTGCACCGGTCGTTAACCCTCACGCGATGGGCGGCACGGCACATAGCCCCCCAACAAAGAAAAACGATAAGAAGCCCAGCGGTGGACAGAGATATCGCCGGGTGTGCACGCACCTGCGACCTTAAAAGGCCCCAGACTTGGGGTGCCCACGACGAAAAGAGCAAACAGACCCTGCCGGTCGCGCCCGGTATTGCCAGAGCGCTGACACCAAACCCTGCAAGGAGCTCGTGCCGTTTCCTATGCAACCCTTGTAGGACGGAAGGCATGCCCCGAATGACGACCACAAAGAGGGTCTTCACGACGGCATTCCAGGACACGTCCATCACACTCATGAGGGCGACCGAGAACCCGAGGAAATCCCTCGGGTCGCCCAAAAGAGCAACGCAGTACCATAAGACCAGCATCCTGAAGAGACTCGCGGTGCTAGCTCCCTCCTGTCTTGGTCCTCCAGAGCAAGACCCTCGTCTGCGGCGTTTTCTCCCGACTCCCGTGTACGGCACAGACATCGCACCTCTTCGACTGTTCCTGCCGTGAAGCCGCCTGTGGATGACTCGACGAGCCCGTGCGCCTTCGTGCTTAGTAGTCAACTTGGGGGGGCGTTGCTCCCGAGCAGGCAGTGGCGGTGATGGGATCGCTTGCAAAACACCGAACACGGCCACAGCAAGGTGCAACACGATCGCAGGCCGGCATCTCTCCACCGGAGTTTTGTACGAGAGTAAGGGCATCATCAACACCACCGCCAACAAGTACGTCACCATCACCCGACGTTTGCACTGGTCGGCCAGTCGTACGCGGCGGCCAGCCCGGCACACCGACCCCCAAAGTAGGAAGACGATAAGAAGCCCAGCGGCAGACGCAGACATCGCCGGGCGCGCACACATCCACACCTGAAGTTGAACACAG